GCTTCATCAACAATCGCCACGCCTGCCGGGCCAGCAGTGCTTGATTGAACAACCGGAAGTCCCTGAAACCTGCACCCCCTTTGCTCTTTGGCTGTAGAAGATGATCCCAACCTCTCCAGTGTACTTTCCTCTTTCCTTTACTAGAACCCCAATAGAAATTCCTTACCATCCGTGTCAAATCGTCACACACCGAGAAAGGTAGCTTGAAAACCCCCATGATCTATGTTGGCAATGCTTGAGCTACAGCTTTAATCAAGACCTCTCTTCCTGGTTGTGCCAATAGGCCGTCACCCCATTGGATCAGTCGCTTTGTTAGACTAGTTTGAAGATTCTGAAATTTCCCCTTGGACATGCGCCCCTCGGGGGTTGGGAGGCCCAAATATTTTTCTTCAAACACCGTTGAAGTAACACCCAGAACGTCTCGCACTTGCACCTGTGTCGCCCCTGGACATGCAGCACCAAAAAATATTGAGCACTTGTTAAAATTCAAACTTTGTCCCGTGGCACTCTCATACATGAGCAACGCTGCCTTCACATTTTCTGCTTGTTCACTAGAAGCCTCAAAAAACAGCAAGGTGTCATCCACAAATAACAAATGTGATATACCCGGAGCTCTTCTGCAAACTCTCACGGGTGTTATACTACCAGCCGCAACCTTGCTCTTTAAGATCGCTGATAATCCATCCGCAATAAACAAAAAAGGAATGGAGATAGAGGGTCGCCTTGCCGAAGCCCACGCGACGGTGCAAATGAATCCAAGAGGGTCCCGTTTAATTTAACACGATATCTCACCGATGTGACACAAGTCATAATCCAGTCAATCCATCGCTGAGTGAAACCCCGCTTTTGCATCACCTGCTCCAAGAAAACCCAATCCACTCTGTCATAAGCTTTTGATAAGTCCAGCTTGTATGCACAAAAACTCTTCGTGGGATCCTTCTCCTGTTTTATGTAATGTAAACACTCGAAGGTCACAAGAGCATTATCTGTAATCATCCTGCCTGGCACAAAGGCACTCTGTTCCAGTGAAACCAGAGTGTCTAGGAGTGGCCTAAGTCGATTCACCAAACACTTCGAAATCACTTTATAAATTACATTACAGAGGCTAATGGGCCTATAGTCAGAAATCTTTGCAGGGTTAGAAAGTTTAGGAATCAGAACAATGGAAGTCGAGTTTACCCCTCCTGGCATAATTCCAGTGACAAAAAAATCCTTAACCGCTGCAATAACATCATCTCTGACAGTGCTCCAGTTCCGCTGAAAAAACCTCGCGGGAAAACCATCTGGCCCCGGTGCCTTAAGTGGACCAATTTGGAACATTGCGTCCGCTATCTCCTTATCTGAAAAGGCCGCACATAATTTAGCATTATCCTCCTCCATCACCATTGGCTCCAAGAGATCCAGTACCGGTCCAGCATCAAGAGTTGCATCCGCTGAGAATATCTCATGAAAGTAATTATTTGCAATCTCGCTCATCGCTGCAAATTCTGAGTGCATTACACCAACGCTATCAGTTAACTGTCTGATTTTGTTTTTCCGTGCCCTCCACACAACCTTATTCTGGAAAAACTTAGTATTCCGATCCCCCTCTTTCAACCATGAGATCCTCGATCTTTGCAACCAAATCATCTCCTCTTGGTATAATAGCACATTCATCTTATCTGTCACCCTGCCAATATCATTTTGATCTGCGTTCATATGCATAAGCTCCTCAAGTTGGGTTCTGGATTTAGCCAGTTCCCTAGTGACATTCCCAAATTTCCTACCGCAAGTGCCGAGTGAGATCATGGTCTTTGACAGGGCGTCACGCAGCTGGGCAAGGTTGCGTACCCCCCCCCCTACTGCATCCCATGCTTCCTTAATCACCTCCGGCAGAGTACCATCCGTCTCCCAGAATAACTCATACCTCCTTGGTTTTGCTCCCGTCGGCCCCGGGTCGGCCGAGGTCTTGAGCAAAAGTATTATATGATCTGAACACGGTGAAGTAATATGAGAGACAACAGAGAAAGCAAACATGTTCCTCCACATATTTGTAGCCACCGCTCGGTCAAGACGAACCCGAACATTATTTGCGGCAGCTCGTTTGTTGTCATAGGTGAAAGGCACCCCTACGAATCCGAGATCCACCAGACCACATACTTCCAAACAGTCCCGAAACGCCACCATTTGAGATTCAGCTCTCGGAGTTGCCGACATGTGTTCAAAATCCCACATAGCCTCATTAAAATCACCCAGCACTAACCAAGGTAAGTCACTCACGGTTTTAAGGCTCTGTAATGTTGTCCACATAAGATGTCTATTCTCAACTCTTGGCTCTCCATATACGAAAGTGACCCTCCATTTTTCTGCATTCTGATCTACCTGTACAAGAGCATCGATATATCTTTCTGTTTTGTCAAGAATCTCCACTACAATACGCCTCATGCCAGTACAAAGCCAACCCACCACTCATTCCTTCACTATCTACACCACAAAAACCCTTGAGGCCGAGATGCCCCCGAATCCTCCTCATCTTTTCCGCCTTTTGCCTAGTTTCACACAGAAAAACCAAATTGGGGGAATGCAACTGGCAAATCGTCGCGAGATCACGAACTGTCCGGGAATTCCCCCCTCCCCGGCAGTTCCAACTTAGTATACTCATTGGGCTCGGCGGTCCTCCTGCGTGGAGGCCGCCTCATCATACATTAGTGAATCAACTCCATCCTCCTCTCCTCCTGCTTCCTTCTCTTTACTATCGGTACCTTCCCTGGTGTTGCATTGCTTACACCACCGCTAGATGAAGCCTCCATTGCTGTTGCATATTCTATCTGCAACACTGTATTCGAAACTCTGCCTATCATGTTTGGGACCTCCTGACCTCTTACATTAATAGACCCATCTGTATTGATCAAACGTTTCTTAGCATTCTTCCCATCCTCACCTAATACAAGATTGACACCGGGAGCTACTTGCCCCGCACCCTGCTCTCTTACTGGTGCATGTCCCCGGCCACCTCTTCCACCAGTACCACCACCATCTCCTCCCTCGCCTTTCCCTCTACCACCCATAGCTCCACCGCCACGCCCCGATCCCATCCCGCTCCCTCCTCTGTCACCTCCTCCTGCACCAGTCGGTTCATTTGTCCAGTGAAGCCAATCTCCCCACTCACAAGATGCTGGTTCATGTATGCCATCACCACATTCCTCCACTACATGCCCCATACGTCCACAGAAAAAGCAGAAATCTGGGAGCTTCTCATATCTAACCGGATACTTCTTTCTCTCCTTCAAAGTGATCGGCACAAATCTCACCAAAGGTTCATCCACATTCACGAAAACTCTTACTCGAAGATGATTTGAAGGGTTTATCCTTCCTTCATTAACAACCACTGTGAAAGGTGGCTTCCCCACCTTCTTTGCGACCTTCTCCGCCAACTCTTTCTTCCTTGTGAGGCCGTCTGGGAGGCCTTTAACACGTGCCCATAGCGGATACATGTCCAGTGCATACTCCGCCACATCGGTAAAGCCATCATATTCAACAAGAATCACAGGATCCCTTCGAAACTGCCAAGGACCACCCTCCATTACCCTCTTCCAATCGCCAAGACAATGGCATTGAGCCAAGAACAGATTCGGCCCCTTGATATTGAAAGTGACCCCTTGCGCGCATGTCCACGCATTCCTCATCGAATTTAGCAACGCCGCATGGCTAAACGGTCTCATCGTATGAACCCTAAACAGAGCCAACCAACGCACATCCCTAATCAGATCATCCACCTCTCCAGACAGGTCTAGGTCTTCTTCTTCCTCCCCATGCAGGTTCATGCCTTCGAACGCATCTTCCAGGTTTGGATCTGGACCCAGGTGGCCGAATTCCTCCTCATCTTCCTTCTCCCGATCTTCCACCCTCGCCCTCTCATCACTTCTAACATCCGCCCCATCTACCACCTCCTTCTCCTGGCCAGCCCCCGCTGCTTTAACTCCATCGAAACCGCCCTCAGGCTGCGTCTCCATCAGCACCGCCTTGGATGCCCCATCGGTCCCATCAACTACTAGCTCCGCCATGCCAACCCGATCGCGAACTCCAGAGTAGACCCCCGCGAGAGACGGCCCGATCGGTGTAGAAACTATGTAGACTCCGCCGTCGCCGTCGGAGGACAGGTTGGACCCTAGGGAAACCCTAGGGGAAAACGTTTCAACTACTAAAATGTTGTGTGTTTAGAAGTTCTTTTTGTTGAGTTGGTGTTTAGGAGAATATTGATTGGTTTTTTCTAATGTTAATTATGTGCAGGTTATGCCAGATTTACGTCTAGATTGGATATTTTTCAGCCTCAGGGGTAACGTAAATCGGAGGGCAAAGGTAGATCAATTACATAGATCGAACGGTAAAGAATGATTAAGATATTTTCAAGGATGTGGATTAACGTGGAGCTCACATAGTAGAGTTGTTCAGCCCAGCTCCAGGCCAGTTGGAGGAGCCCAGAGCTGGAGAGCTACCAAACATTCCCTTAGCAATGCTCCTCTCTAAACGCACTGCTCCTTTTCAGCCATTTTTAGCTGCATGTATCAACATGTGGGGCAAATTTAAACATGTTCCCTCTAACCTACTCTTTATACTCAAGAGGCAAGAGTATATAATAAATTTAAACCGTTAATTCCATTAACTAGTTGGTCTGAGTAACTTTTATCTTCTTATCTTGCACGTGAAAAGAGGAGATAAGAGGGACCAACATGTGGATGCTGTCAGCTGGGCACGTAAAGTTACTCGTGGCCATTCATGCACAGTCAGAAATTTCGAAATTTGTGGTTTTTGGTAAACAAGCAAGTACGACCATGCAAGCAAAAGTTAACAAACACATCCGAGATTCAATCAAAAATACAAAAAGCTCACACTAGCTAGGAGTAATTCAGAGACGACATACACAAGGCACATCATTATGCGCGTGCGCTTATTTGCAGAACAGGCTTGCTAGCATGACCGGGGAAAGTAATAGGTACCCAGATAATGTATATCATGTATGCCTAGAGGTCGACGACCTTGAAGTGGTGTCGGTTCTTGACGATGATCTCGTACATGTGGGTGGAGCGGAACCGCGCAAAGTCGCGCGGGAGGGCGATGAGGTCGACCCCGCCGTCACGACGGTGGAGCTGCACGATGTCTCCGTTTTCATAGTAGCGCTCCCAACCGAGCGACCCCAGCCGCCGCTCCAGCACCTCCAGCGACCGCATCGGCTCGTTCGCAGGCAGGTACACCAGCGCCTTATTGCGGCCGCCCACGCTCCGGACCGTTGACGACCCTCCGGCCACGCTCTGCAGCTCCATCACCCCGTCCTTCCGGAACACCCACACACCCCCCACCGCCATCGATGAAGTGTATATCGGTCTTTCTTTGCCCTGCGAGGCTAGAGAGAGTGGTACTCCTCTATGGGTATATGTATATGTGCTTCGTGCGCGCTAAAATAGTCGGTGATCGTTTTTGTCCTCCCACTCAACAGTAGGTGCCAATAATGCATGCGAGGACACTGGCGCTTCACGTGGAGGCAGGGGCAGCAGCAGCAGGCTGGTTTATCTCTCTCCTGCTGCTTCCCGATTTTGGGTGCAATAATAAGGCATGTCGGCGATCAATTATATAGTGTTCCGTGTACCGGCGATCAATTGGTTGCTCCGGGCAAGGGCATGATTTCCAATTGGAGCTCGCACCAGGTGGGGTTATGCGGGATGCCAAATCAAGATTGCTGTACGCCAAATCTGTCCCTGCGCGACGTGACTGCCAGCGTGTGGCTGCCAGATATATCCAACATCTATGCTGGTTCGTTTGGATCTGGGAGGCGGACGAAAATGTCCGGAGCTGTCCGGCTTGCCGTAGATGCGTCCAATGCCGCCAACAAACAATAATGAATCATTATTGGCCAACAATAATGCTACACGCACGGACGAAAACGGGCGTTTACGGGGCTGACTAGGAAACGATCCGACATGGATGCGCTGAGGAATGAAACAGTTAGAAAAATGGAGAACGTGCCGCTGTTTACGCTAGCAAGAAAACAGAACGCAACAGAACGGCAGCTCGGTTTGCCCTCGTTCCAGATTACTGATCCCGCCGCCTCGGACGACCTCAGCGTGTCCTGCCGCCAAGAGCACGTTCACGCTTGCTCCGCCGATCTGTTCGAGCCGTGGGCGTGCCTGTTTGTTCGCGTCGGCATTAGCAGGTAAACGCCCGGCCATATATACTCTGTAGATCAAAGCCGTGTAGTATGCCACAAGCAGAGTATCTGTAGATCAAAACCATGTACGTAAGTTGTCCGTCTTGATCAAAGTCATATGCGAGTTATTTTCAGTAAACCTTGAAGTACTAGATAAGGCTAATCAGACTGATGAGAGATGAAGGTTACAAATGGTTTGTACAATACTGTATCGCGCCACATCAGAACGGCAAAATTCTTATGATTGTTTATGAGTGTATAGATTTTGTAAAGTTCAACATACAGTTTCGTAGTTCAGTTTTAACATGCCAATCTTCAGGTCAATTTGTTAGTACCATTCAGTTTGCTTATATTGGCTTCGAACAAGAATGATTAAAATATTCATGGTCTACAGGAATGGATGATGGAACTTGTGGTGTTCAAGAATCAAGTGACATGTCTATATCAAGCGATGATGACGGCATTAAGGAACAAAATGAAAACAATGTGGAAGTTGGACATCACCATGGTGAAGCTCAGCCGCATGCGTTACTTGGAGAACCAGAACTGGGAATGACCTTTGATAATGAGAATGACGTGCGAGAGTACTACACCAAATATGCTAAAGCGAAAGGCTTTGGTGTGATGAGAAGAAGTTCAAATACTGATGCTAATGGACAACTGAGGTACCTTACACTTTCCTGCACTCGCAATGGTAAGACTCAGTCCAAATCAAGAAATATGTTGAAGCCAAATCCATCAGCCGGGTTAGGATGCAAAGCTAAAATTAATATTGCTCGTGGTCCTCATGGAAAGCTTTATCTTTCAACTGTCATTTGGGATCATAATCATCCATTAAGTCCACAAAAATCTCGGTTATTCAGATGCAACAAAAGGTTAGATCTTCATGTCAAGCGAAAGCTTGAGTTGAATGACCGGGCTGGAATTCGAGTAAACAAGAATTTCAATTCTTTTGTTGTGGCAGCAGATGGTCATGACAACCTAACTTTTGGTGAGAAAGATTCTCGCAATTATCTAGAGAAAATAAGAAGGTTGAAACTTGGCACTGGTGATGCTGAAGCGGTTCGCGACTATTTCATCAAAATGCAATCCGACAACCCAAACTTTTTTAGTGTCATGGATGTTGATGATGAATCACGACTTAGGAATGTATTTTGGGCTGATGCTAGAAGTAGAGCAGTGTATGACTCTTTTCATGACGTCATCACTTTTGACACAACATATTTGATGAACAAATATGATATGCCTTTTGCTTGTTTTGTTGGAGTGAATCATCATGGTCAATCAGTGCTGCTAGGATGTGCTTTATTATCAAACGAAGATACTGCAACATTCATTTGGTTATTTCAAGCATGGCTCACATGTATGTCAAATCGTCCACCAAAAGCTGTTGTTACTGATCAAGCAAAAGCAATTCAAAATGCCGTGGGAATAGTTTTTTCGGAATCTCGGTACAGATGGTGCCTGTGGCATATTATGAAAAAAATACCAGAGAAGTTAGGTGGATATGAAGAATATGATCACATCAAAGTTGATGTTGGCAAGGCAGTTTATGATTCATTAACAATTACAGAGTTTGAAGTTGCTTGGCTACATATGCTTGAGAAGTATGATATTGGAGATAATGAATGGCTTAAAGGGCTTTATGAATATCGGCACCGTTGGGTTCCAGCATTTGTGAAAGATGCCTTTTGGGCAGGTATGTCTACTACACAACGTAGTGAGAGTATGAATGCCTTCTTTGATGGGTATGTTAATGCAAAAACTACATTGAAGCATTTTGTTAGCCAATACGAGAATGCTCTTCGTGATAAAGTTGAGAAGGAGAATATTGCTGATTTCAATTCTTTCAATTCAACCATACCTTCTATCACAAGATTCGACACCGAGAAGCAATTTCAATCAATCTATACAAATTCAAAGTTCAAAGAATTTCAAGAAGAGCTAACAGATATTATGTACTGTGAGCGGAAGTTGATACAAAAAGAAGGGGCAATAGAAACGCACGAGATAACAGAGGATGTGCTAATTGACGAAGAAAAAGGATGGAGAAAAGATATTGTGTACCATGTATATTTCAATGAGGAAGAGTTTGAAGTTAAGTGTTCATGTCGCCACTTCGAGTTCAGAGGTATTCTCTGTAGGCATGTGTTATGTGTGCTCACTCAGAAGAAAATCAAGGAGGTTCCTCCAAAATACATCCTTGAGCGGTGGAAAAAAATGTGAAAAGAAAACATAACTTTATCAGATGCACATATGGCGGCATGGAAGACACTCCTGTTGCAAAACATTTTGATAGTTTGTGCAGTTCTTTCTACCCAACTGCAGAGATAGGCGCCATGTCAGATGATTCGTTCAATTCCTTGACTGAAGATCTCCGCACCTTGCAAATTAAGTACAGTAGCAACTCAAGTTTTGAAAATAATAAGGATAAGGTCGGTACACAAGAAGATCAATTGCAGGAAGATGCACCTTCTAATGGGCCAGCAAGAAGTAAAACTATACTAAGTCCAATAGCTGTTAGATGTGCTGGTCGTCCTCCTTCGTTGAGAAAAGAATCTAAGGTTGATAAGCTTATTCGGCAAGCAAAGGAAAAGAAGAAAAAAGCTGAACTAAGGGAGCAAAAAAAGGTTGCACAAAAGGAGAAGAAGGAAGCTGCAGAAAAGGTATTGTTGCTTAAATTTTGTTTTTCTGCTTTCAAAAATAAGCACCCAAATTCGCGCCTGTTGAGCCCACTACATTCGTATTTATTTCAGGCTCGCTCCATGAATTTGAAAAAGAAAAGGTCCAGTAAAAAGAGAAAATCCTCGGAGGATGATATTCTAGAACAAAATGTTATTGAACATGAGGTATGTATTTCTTGTTCTCGGTTGCTTAATACTATTTTTTTCATGCACTTTTCGGAGTTAACACTCTTGCAATCTGAAACAGAGTCCACAAGCTTCTAATTTGGATGGCCAAGCTTGTAGTACTATAGCGCAGTTATCTTGGTTTCTTATCTTTTTACCTCTAGTAATCACTTGAGCATCCATGTCATTCTACCACGTTCTTTGTTCTTTGCGGCAAGAACCATTTGGCTTGGGCATTACCACTGGCAACATAAATCCACCTCAAGGATCGACTGCAGTATCCTTTGGAGGTTCATCGGCAATGCTTATGCCTCCAATTTTAGGAGAATATACAAGTATGTTGTTTCAAGTTCAGCAAGGATCGACTATACTGCCACGTTCTGCAGAGTTACAGTCTGATGGAATTGGAGGGCTCAACAATACGACGGATCAGAGTTAGCTATGATTTATGTAATTTGATGAAAGGCACCAGGGCACTTGGCAACTTTAGTGTAATAGATGAAAGGCACCAGGGCACTAGAAAGTAAACAAATTTATGTTTTACCATTTTGTTTTTCCATAAAGTAACAGAACTGCTACTATCCATGGATATGTGTGCGTGTACATTGCCGCTGGCTAATTCCAATCACAGAGCTTTTTGTCTCACACATGACTACCTGCTTTCATGAGCTTCAGGATTATGTAGTGTATGTAAGATGGCTTCCACGTCAATCTTGTCTAAATTGACAGCAACAATGTACAACTATCCCCAGCGTGATACTCTGTATTTACTCTTAAGAATCTCAACAATCATAGCCAGAACAACAATACATAAGGATGTTTCCATCCTTCAAACTTTCCAGAACTGAAGAACTTTATATATTGATTTCATTGATAAGGTCGGAGTACACAAATTCATGTAGCGAGAAGTACATGTTACAATTGAAAGCAACTACATGAGCACTTCTGAGAAGTACATGTTACACTCAACAGGAACTACATGAGCAATTCTGTTGGGAACATTCAAGTTATCTTCCGCAGACACATGCATAATCTGCAATCTTATGTGGCCTTTGATTTTGGTCTCTCTTCATTTGGTGAAACAACATTTTGTGTTTCTTGTCGCATTGCACAGAGAATACCACTTATGCTGGAGTGTCTATAGTCCTCTCCCTGCAAAGCAGAAGAAAATTCAGAGCTTGCACAAAGTTCAAAATTTGCACAAAAGTTCAGAATCTGCACAAAAGTTCAGAATCTGCAAGTTACAAAATTGAGTGCTAATCTGGCCCAGCTGCGCGGGTTGAGATCGTCGAGATTTAACACTGCACGCTCA